GGGGGGAGGGTTTGCTGCGTCCCTGGCGGGGGGGCGTGCGTGCACGTGGGCGTGTCCCCCCGTGGAAGCTCCGCGGGCTGTGTGAGCTGCTGGGCACGCCGCCGGGGCGCAGGACACCGCGAGTGCCCCCGGGTGCTGGGGGGGGGCTGCAGCGTGGGGGTGTGGAGCAGAACTGTGGGGGCTGTGCTGCAGGTCAGATGCTGCATCTCTGTGCTGAGGGGGCGCTGCCCCCAGCCCAGCATCCCCGCTCCTGCTCTGTGCCTGCCTGGGCCCTGGCCGTGCTCCACGGGCACCTCCACTGCTCCCGGGGATGCTGCTGGGGCTTGGCCCCCCCTCAGCCCTGGCCCCGGTGTCTGGCAGGGCGGATCTGGTTGGACAACGTGAATTGTGCTGGAGGCGAGAAGAGCATTGGGGACTGCAAACACCGGGGCTGGGGGAACAGTGACTGCAGCCACGAGGAAGATGCAGGTGTCATCTGTAAGGATGAGCGTATCCCAGGCTTCAAGGACTCCAATGTAATTGAGGTGAGGAAGCTGCTGGCCAGGATGGCAGCTGGTGCTGCCCAGCATCCCGCAGAGCCAGTTACCAGGTGCCCTGCTGTGGGACAGCCCAGCCTGGCCTCAGGCCTCCCTGAGCAGTTGGGAGGCAAGGACTCTGTCTCATGCTTCTGCAGCCTGTTTTCTTTCTCCTGCCTGCCAGGGACCCTCAGTCCCAGACCTGCTCCTCCACCTGCTGTTCTCTCTCCCTCTGTCTCTCTTCCAGGCTCTCTGTTTCTCAGACCAGCTCCAATGGCTGCCCTTGTCTTCCTGGCTGGGGCCTCTGTCTCCCGCAGCTGCTGTGTCTGTGGAGGATGATGTGGCTGGGGTGTGGGGACATGGCTGAGGTCTGGGCATGAGATAGCAGGTCTCTTGTGAGGTGACAGGGCCCGGGGCCATGTCCTGTGGGCTATGCCCAGTGTCCTGGCCCCCCCATGGTGCTGCCCTGCTCTGGGGGGTGCCTGGGTGTGGAGAGGTCTGGGCACTCCCCCTCTGTGTGCAGGGTCCCAAGGTGACAGGACAGCAGCACTGGCTCTCCTGGCTGTGTTCCCAGGAAGATGCACCCCAGAGTTCAGGGGGATATGAGGTGCTGATGGGGTTATGTCCTTGGCCGCCCAGGGCTATCAGATGTGTTCTGCAGGGACACAGGACCCAGTTGTCCCCATTCCCCACCTGGGAGTGGGGACTGCATCCCCAGCAGGTGCCAGCATCCTTGGGGCATCCCTGGGACAGGACAGGCAGGGAGCCAGGGCAGTGGCACACGGTGCAAGCCAGGCTGATCTGTGCCCTGCAGACTGAGCAGAGCCAGGGGGAGGAGGTTCGTCTGCGGCCAGTGGTGTCCGGGGCCCGGAGGCTCCTGCCGGTGACCGAGGGCATTGTGGAGCTGCGCTACAAGGATGGCTGGGCACAGATCTGTGACCAGGGCTGGGACAGCCGCAACAGCCGCGTTGTCTGTGGCATGATGGGCTTCCCTGCAGAGAAGAAGGTCAACAGGAACTTCTACAAGTGAGTGAGGCCATAAGGGAGCCCACATGGCTGGGTGTCAGAGCAGAGCTGGGGGCATGGGGCTGGGGCAGAGCTGGGGACGGTGCCAGGGACATAAAGTAGTGCTGGGGACACGGAAGGGGCCATGCTGGTGGGTGTTTTGGCTCCCCGGCATCCCTCCCATCCCTGCTGCTCACCAGTTCTATCCCCAGATGGCCATACAGGCACTTGCTAAGCAAATCAAGGAGCCATGGCATGGCTGGGGGACCATGTCCACCCACCTGCCCCAGGCACTACTGCAGAGGCTGCTCCAAGAGGGCAACTTTTGCTCCCTGGACGTGTTACACGTCCACATTTCCCTCGGGTGCAGAGTGTGAGGGTTCCCGATTTGAGGGGATGTTTGTGGCCGAGCCAGGCAGGGATGATCCAGCGTGGCCTGAGTGAGGGGCCCAGGGCTGTGGGCATGGACACACTGCCCATGGCGTGGTGCCCAGGTGCTGCCCAGCACTGGCCGTGCCCCTCACCAGGCAGCGCCATGTTGCTCCTGCAGGCAGCTGAAATGCGCAGCCAGGAGGAAGGGCTGGAGCCCCAGGCTGGGCCACAGGTAAAGGGCCGGGTGCCCCATCTGCTGAGCCCTGGGCAGAGCTGGGCTGCCTGGCCCCACCGATCCCTGCTGTCGGAATGGATCCTGGTGCACACGGATCCGGACGGAGCAGGCCAAGGGCCGGGGCTGTGCTAGGCAGGCAGCAACCCCACCCTGCTGGGATCTGCTGTGCATGCCAGGGTGCCCTGTTCCCTACGAGAGACAATCTCTCTCCCAGGCCGCCCATGCCCCAGCAGAGCAGCCCCCATCCCACACACCAGGCAGGACTGGGGGTCAGGATGCCCTGGAAGGCATGGAGGCATCCTGCATGCCTGCATGGAGGCATGCCTGGAAGGCATGGAGGGCTGTGGCATCCTGTGCTGCAGCCCCACTGAGACCAGGAGGCCTTGGAGTGGAGCCGTCTCTCCTGGCGGACAGGGAGGGAGAGATGTGGAGATGGGCTGCTTTCTGCAGGAAGCAGCAGTGGGGAAGCTGGAAAGGCTGAGCACCCTCCATTCCCTGCAGGGTGGGCTGGCAGGGTGGGCTGGTGCAGGCAGGAGAGCCTGTGCTCAGGGGTGCCTGGCTCCGGGGGGATGGGCACGGTGTGGCAGGTCTTGTCCTCAGTGCTGCATCTGCTCAGGGTCTCTTGCACCCTCTGCCCACTCGCTCTTGCTGCTTTTCCACCTGTCCCAAGGGACAGTCAGCATCCAGAGCCCATCCTCACTGGGCTCAGGGGTGGCACCTCTCGCCTGAGCCCATTGCCACACAGAGAACTTGCTCTATCCCCAGCACACGACCTTGCCTGGTCCTACCACCTTCCCTGGTGCCAAAGGTGCCCCACATTCTGGACCTATCCCGAGCTCTTTGTTGTGACCTTCCCCAGCTCTATCCCCAGTAGGCATCCTCGCCAGCTCCTGCATCTGTGCCTGCACTGGTGATGGAGACACAGACAGGGTCAGGCCTTGGGGTCTCCTCAATCCCTTGCTCACAGGTCATGCTCACTCAGGGTCTTGTCACGTGTCTGCTTTTGTGCTGACTGGTTTTGTGCCCCTTTTCCAAGGTGTGGGCATTACCCCTGGAGCACTGGGGTTTGCTCCCTTTCCTCTGCCTGGAGCAGGAGTTGTCTCCTGAAGCCACAAGCTGATTTGTCAGGGCTGAGCCATTTGGGGCTGCATAGCTGCAGTCATATGTGGGGTCACAGGCTGATCCAGGCTGGAAGGGACCTTGGGACATCTCGATCCAACCCTCTGCATGGAGCAGGGCCAGCTTTGGGACAGCCCAGGACTTAATTGAGTTAAACCTCTGAGGATCCCACAGCCTTGTGGCCTCTACTCCAATGCTGAACAGCCCCCGTGGGGAAAGAGCTTTCCTTACACTAATCATGCCTGTTTTCTCTCATGCTTTTCCCCTCCCATGACTGGAATATCCAGGCTCTGGCTCCTGACAGACCCTTCAGGTGCAGATCGGCTGCTGCTAGAGCCCCCTGAAGTCATCCCAGCCCCAGGTTGGAGCAGCTCTGCACCCCCAGCTGTCCCCCAGCCCCTTAGTCTCCGTGTCCCCCCAGGGCTTCCACCACTTCGCTGGTGTCTGTCTGGTCCTGGGGGCCCAGGGCTGGGTGCAGGATCCCTGTGTGGTTCAACTGGGCGCTGGTGTCCTTGGCCGGACATTGGGCTCCAGTCGCTGGCAGCCCCGTGCTGTGTCCTGGGGCTGGTGGGGCTCTGCAGGCCCAGCTGCCAGCCTCGCTTTTGTCTTGTCCCTGGCCAGTGTCCATCCCCTGCCCTGGTCTGGAACACCCCACTCCTCACTCCTTGTGGTCCTTGCAGTCTTGTCCCTGCTCAGCATCTTCCCCCCCTGAGTGCAGCAAAGCTCTTGAGCGTGTTGGGACCAAACCCAAATGAGATGTGTGCCAGGCCTGGAGCTGCCTCCTTCCCCACTCCCTCAGGAAGCTCCCTGTGCTGGCAGTAGGTCCTTGTGAGCCTGCAGGGGCAAAAGGGAGAGCACCCACCTGCGCTGCTTGCTTGGTGCTGTGCATCCTGCTCCCCTGGGAGCACGGGGCAGGGATGTTGTCTGGTGTCTGAACGAGCACGTGGACACACCCCACTTGTACCCGACAGATCAAATCGTTGCCAGTGGTGTTTGATCTGCTGTGTGACAAAGCCACACGGATGTTGCTGCATCCGGTGCAGTTTCCTGGTGGGCTGTGGGCGTTTGTCACATTGCTGACAGCAGATAATGCCGTTGCATCCATGCATGACATTGAGGGGATGTGCATGAGTCTTCCTGGGGTTACCGCGTGCCCGGTTCAGTCTGCAGGGACAGGCTGTGCTCCCTGTGTCACCGCAGCTGCCAAAGATGACAGCCTGAGGCCGCGGGCTCCTTCACAGTTGTTCTGTTTTCCAGGCTGGCCTCCAAATCTCAGCCTAAACAAAAGCGCAGGGAGGACGTAGGGTCTAAGAAGAGGTAAATGGCTCCAGTGTAGAGCCTGAGCACCAGGAGCCCCGCCCAGTGCCGCCGGGGCCCGGCGTGTCCCCGTGGTGATGGGGAGTGGGGCAG